TGAGGAAAGATGTACACGTTCGTAAGTGCTTGCGTAACTGCTTCGTGTATGTGGCCCCAGGGTTTTAAGTATCCAGTACATGTTTGAGTGTTAGTGTCTTGTGTTCCATACAACTGCCATCAAATTAAATCTGCTGACTGTTGTATTCTTCATGTGTCGTACTTGCTTGTCGAAGCCTTTCTTCACTACACGCTCCGAGACATTGTAGTCAGCTGCCTAATCCAGTTCTACATGGTGATTGTTGAGTTGTATTTACCTGAATAAATTGATGGTATTTCAGCACTGAAAATGTTTGAAAGTTTGTTTCCCAAGTGGAACATTGAGGAAAAGTCTTGCAGTCTCCGTGGTGTAGTGGTAAGACACTCGCCTGGCGTTCCGCGAGCGCTATGTCATGGGTTCGTATCCTGGCCGGGGAGGATTTACTGGGCGCAATTCCTTAACTGTAGCCTCTGTTTAACGCAACAGTAAAATGTGTACTTGGATGAAAAAACGATTCTTCGCGGCAGGGGATCGTATTCCAGGGACCATAGGATTAAGGACTTGCCCGAAACGCTACGCGTACTAGTGGCTCTACAAGAATGTAACAACTCTTGTATATATCTCAAAAAAAAAAAAAAAAATGTTTTCTGATGATAATGTAAATTCATTGATTGTAATTAAGAATGGTTATACATGCAAGAGGCATATTGAAGGTTTTGCTTTATGTAGGTTTTAGCAGACTGTTTATGCTAACTTCTCAACTTTTACAGTTTGTTAACTTATTGAGGTAAACAGATGCTCAGTTCCTGAATGACATATACGTTACTGACACCTGTAACCCGTGTGTACCGGCTTGTGTAACCGGCCCCTTAATGGTAGCCGGATATCTTAGGCTACTATTAAGGGTAGCCAGTCCCGGTCGTCGAGGCCTGGTCGACGACCGGGCCGCAGGGACGCTAAGCCCCGGAAGCACCTCAAGGTAAGGTAGCATTTGGTGACTGACAGACATGGGTACTGGGCTCTTATTGGCTAATTACATTAAGGTCATTAAAACTGTCAACTAACTATTAATATACACGCTAACAATCACTGTATACCTAAACTCATCAATACTGTAACTCTCTTACCTAAACCAATCCCGGTTGAGGGTCCTGGTGGCACAGTGGGCTTGGTTCTACTCTCGTAATCGTGAATTCCCGGTTTGAATCCCGGGCGGGACAGAAATGGTTGGGTGCATTTCCTGTCACCTAATGCACCTGTTCACCTAGCAGCAAGTAGGTACCCAAGAGGTAGTCAACGTGTTTCAATAATTTCACCTCCAGGTTGGGGGGGGAGGGAACTCGATATAAGCCTAACATATATATATATTTTTATTAAGTATAAAATATAAATTATTATTATTATTATTATTATTAAATACACTGGCTGCCTGACCTCTTAATACAATTAATTTAATTAAATATTCAATCCAGCCTCCTGTTTAAAAAATAGTTTTTGTAACTGTCCATTAAAGTACAAAGATTGACGTACTAAGCATTTAGATAGTAGAATTTAGCACTATTCACTGTATACAATCCATAAATATGAAGCTAAAAAACAAACTTAACTATTCCTAGGCCTAGTACACATATGTACTATTTTAGGCCTCGGATATCGTTCGTGTATTAGGCCTAGGAAGTTTAGGATAAGTTAGTATGTCTTTGCCACATAAAAAATCTTTTCCTGTTTGTCCAAATTCAATAGTACCGATTTCTACTTTTTAATAGCGTTGTACGTCTGTACATGTACAATAGTACTCATTGGTACTATAAGTAGTGCTTCTTGTTGATGGAAAAGCGTGCAGTTTGTACAAAGGGTTGTGTTGCGGTGTAGATAGAGGAGCTGTGACTAAAGAGAGGCGGGTGTTAGTGGGAGACTTCCCGCACTATAGAGGCGGAGTTTTTTTTTTTTTTTTTGAGATATATACAAGAGTTGTTACATTCTTGTAGAGCCACTAGTACGCGTAGCGTTTCGGGCAGGTCCCTGGAATACGATCCCCTGCCGCGAAGAATCGTTGTTACAACCAAGTACACATTTTACTGTTGCGTTAAACAGAGGCTACAGTTAAGGATTTGCACCCAGTAAATCCTCCCCGGCCAGGATACGAACCCATGACATAGCGCTCGCGGAACGCGGACTGTACTTTTCTACCACAGACGTGGCCAGACATTTACAATGCTAACCAGCATATATACATTTTCTTCTGTCCTCCATGGACAGGGCGTCAGCTAATCCATGGTGTTGTGACGGGGCAGTTGTTATCTATGTGTGTGATAGTTGGTGGCGTCAGGTATATATGTGGTCACATGTGGGGCAGTGTTGGTCGACTGGAGATATTAAGTCAGTGCTTTGACTAGTTTGGTATTTTTCCTGTAACGAGTGGTCTAATATATGCTCCTCCTAATATATCCTAAATATCCTCCTAATATATACTCGATGGTAAAGGGTATTTTAAGTGCGACAAAGACTAGTTTTGAAGTTTTATCTGTCACTGTGATGTCAGAAGCTCTGAAGGTTATCTTATCTTGAGGTTATCTTGAGATGATTTCGGGGCTTAGCGTCCCCGCGGCCCGGTCCTCGACCAAGCCTCCTTTTTGTTACACACCCCCCAGGAAGCAGCCCGTAGCAGCTGTCTAACTCCCAGGCACCTATTTACTGCTAGGTGAACAGGCGCATCAAGGTGAAAAAAACTATGACCATTTTTGTTTCCGCCTCCACCGGGGATCCAACCCGGAACCTCAGGACTACGAATCCGAAGCGCTGTCCACTCAGCTGTCAGGCGTGAAGGAGATAGTATTGGAGTGCTTCACACACCTGACAGTGGGTGCTGTCAGGTGTGTACTTAGCGCTGTGTGCTGCCAGTCAGGTGTGTCCCAGCCTTACCTTACAGTCAGGTGTGTCCCAGCCTTTCCTTACAGTCAGATGTGTCCCAGCCTTACCTTACAGTCAGGTGTGTCCCAGCCTTACCTTAGTCAGGTGTGTCCCAGCCTTACCTTACAGTCAGGTGTGTCCCAGCCTTACCTTACAGTCAGGTGTGTCCCAGCCTTACCTTACAGTCAGGTGTGTCCCAGCCTTACCTTAGTCAGGTGTGTCCCAGCCTTACCTTACAGTCAGGTGTGTCCCAGCCTTACCTTACAGTCAGGTGTGTCCCAGCCTTACCTTACAGTCAGGTGTGTCCCAGCCTTACCTTACAGTCAGGTGTGTCCCAGCCTTACCTTACAGTCAGGTGTGTCCCAGCCTTACCTTACAGTCAGGTGTGTCCCAGCCTTACCTTACAGTCAGGTGTGTCCCAGCCTTACCTTACAGTCAGGTGTGTCCCAGCCTTACCTTACAGTCAGGTGTGTCCCAGCCTTACCTTACGGTCAGGTGTGTCCCAGCCTTGCCTTACGGTCAGGTGTGTCCCAGCCTTACCTTACGGTCAGGTGTGTCCCAGCCTTACCTTACGGTCAGGTGTGTCCCAGCCTTACCTTACAGTCAGGTGTGTCCCAGCCTTTCCTTACAGTCAGGTGTGTCCCAACCTTACCTTACAGTCAGGTGTGTCCCAGCCTTACCTTACAGTCAGGTGTGTCCCAGCCTTAATCTGGTCATCGTTATATCAATATATCTACTTTTATATCTGACACGTTTCAAATTTAAATTTAAATTTTGCCCCGAGGGGCGAGTTTATTGGGCAGTGCCACTCATCCTGTGAGTGGACACACCGCCATAGTGACAGTATTGGGCAGTGCCACTCATCCTGTGAGTGGACACACCGCCATAGTGACAGTATTGGGCAGTGCCACTCATCCTGTGAGTGGACACACCGCCATAGTGACAGTATTGGGCAGCGCCACTCATCCTGTGAGTGGACACACCGCCATAGTGACAGTATTGGGCAGCGCCACTCATCTTGTGAGTGGACACACCGTCATAGTGACAGTATTGGGCAGCGCCACTCATCTTGTGAGTGGACACACCGCCATAGTGACAGTATTGAGCAGCGCCACTCATCCTGTGAGTGGACACACCGCCATAGTGACAGTATTGGGCAGCGCCACTCATCCTGTGAGTGGACACACCGCCATAGTGACAGTAATGGACAGCGCCACTCATCCTGTGAGTGGACACACCGCCATAGTGACAGTATTGGGCAGCACCACTCATCCTGTGAGTGGACACACCGCCATAGTGACAGTATTGGGCAGCGCCACTCATCCTGTGAGTGGACACACCGCCATAGTGACAGTATTGGGCAGCGTCACTCATCCTGTGAGTGGACACACCGCCATAGTGACAGTATTGGGCAGCGCCACTCATCCTGTGAGTGGACACACCGCCATAGTGACAGTATTGGGCAGCGCCACTCATCCTGTGAGTGGACACACCGCCATAGTGACAGTATTGGGCAGCGCCACTCATCCTGTGAGTGGACACACCGCCATAGTGACAGTATTGGGCAGCGCCACTCATCCTGTGAGTGGACACACCGCCACAGTGACAGTATTGGGCAGCTCCACTCATCCTGTGAGTGGACACACCGCCATAGTGACAGTATTGGGCAGCGCCACTCATCCTGTGAGTGGACACACCGCCATAGTGACAGTATTGGGCAGCGTCACTCATCCTGTGAGTGGACACACCGCCATAGCAGCATGTACAACACTCCCCAATAGGAAGAAAACCCGCTGGGTTGTTCATCCGTTTTCCATTTCATTACAAAATCTTGGGTGATGGTATGGTTGAAGGTTCCTGTATGTGCTACATGAGGTAGTGGTTGACAGATACTGTGAGGTGTCTTGTACAACCCTTTCTACTACCCAAACAGGAAGATGGGCTGAAATATTGTGTATTGAACCTGTTATGTACCCGTAACCTTTGCCCCACTCAAAGGACTGCTGGGTGACGCATAGTAAAGAAAGTGAGCAGTTCAGCTTACGTATGTAAGTTTACAGCTTACGTATGTAAGGTATGTGTGAACGTGTACAACTTACGTATATAAGTGTACAGCTTACGTATGTAAGGTATGTATGAACGTGTACAACTTACGTATGTAAGTGTACAGGTTACGTATGTACGGTTGTGTGAACGTGTAGTGGACGGGTGCGGCTGGAGTCATGTGTGTGTGGCCGCCCCGCACCCTGCTAGTCTGTGTGGCAGCTCCACGCTGCATGGTATACGCTCTCACTGCTCCCTGGCTCCCTAATACTTGCATGTCCTCTGTAAGTATATGGGAATCGTTCACCCTGTGTGTGTGTGTGTTTATACAGTGAATAACTTTGTCAGTGAATGTTACGGTGAAGTTTTGTGCTTGTGAAGAACAGTGCTGGGAGGTCCCACACCTGCTGCCAAAGGTACGATGTTTACTGAAACGCGCATATACGTATACCCTTATGGACCGATATATATATATACTTTAGTATGTTAATTTGTTTTCAAATCATTGATAATTCAGTGCATTGATGTATATCTGATCATTTTGTACTGCATGTGGCCACGCTTCTAGTTAATTAAAGAGTTATTAACAAGCGTGGTGGCGGCAGGTGGCGCCACTCTAGGGGGGGGGGGCGGGGGCGGGGGGCCTTGTGATCTTGTGATCTTGAAAGGGGCCATTTGATCTCGACTAGTGAGAGGCTGTTATCTGGGCGCTACATGAACTAAGACGCGAAATTCAATAAAAATTTTACGTTGCACAGAGAAAGTATTCAGTTTTGGGGTCTGGCAGTTACATCACAAATGTTTATTTTCTTTACATTTCGTTCATTTATGGATAATATACATTATAATTAACTGATAGGTAATATGTATATATATTGGTGATGTCCAATGACGAACTCACTTTATAAGGAAATTGTTATTCAATTTCAAATTGAATAACAAAAATTGAAAAAATTCAATTTCAAAGTTTCAATTCTTTCTCCTTGGTCTGAAACTCACATTTTTCATCACGTGTTAATTTTCGCGCACACACACACACACACACACACACACACACACACACACACACACACACACACACACACACACACACACACACACACACACACACACACACACACACACACACACACACACACACACACACACACACGCACACACGCACGCACGCACGCACACGCACATATATATATATATATATATATATATATATATATATATATATATATATATATATATATATATATATATATATATATATATATATATATTGGTGTATACTGGCAGCAGGTTTTCTTTCAAACATGTTTCATTGAATATGACCGCATATTCTGTATTTATTATTTTCTGGTTTAGGGCTTCTATCCCTCTAACTATTTTCTTAGCATCAGGGCTTAATTGAAATAGGAGTTCTCCAAAACTCATTTTCGTACTTTTAAGGTGAAGAAAAGAAGTGATTTACTATAGAGTGTATTACACTTATTTGTATAATTTGCACGACGTTTCGAACCTCCATGGTTCATTCTCAAGTGAACAGATCTTACAATACTAGTTGATTTTATACCCGCATTAGGTCAGGTGATAATACAATGAAGGTGAAAACATGGGGGGATACATAAGGGATAAACATAGGGGCTGCAGAAGGCTTATTGGCCCATACGAGGCATCTCCTATCTAAACACAAAGATTAATCCAGTGTAATTGGCCTGTTATGTTGGACATTGTCTTCTGTGTTGGCATCGATATGTTCTTGTCTTGTCCTTACTCTCATGGTGGGTAGAGTAAATAGTTCCGTGATTTGAGTGTTCATGGTAGGTCGCTCTATTCTTATGTGAATTGCCTCAAGAATTTGTAACCTTCTTGAATCTTGGGTTTTGTCTATTATGCAAGTATTCTTGTTCAACATTTCTCTTGTTAGAGTAATGTCATGGGCTTGTCTCATGTGATTCCTAGGAGCACCAGATTGAAGATGGCATGTCAAACGCCTCGTCAGCTTGGTCGACGTCATACCTATGTACTTACATTGAAGGTTACATCCTTCGTGGGGGCAAGTGTACATGTATACAACGCTTGACTGCTGTAGAGGGTTCTCCGTCGGCTTCGGGCTGTTTTTGATAAGGAGTTCGGAAGTCTTCTTGGTTTTGTAGAATATTATCAGGTTTATGTTTTGGTTAGGAGTAGTGCTTTTTACTCCTTTACGGATTATTTCTTTCATTATTCTTTCCTCTTTTATATGTTCACTGTGCATGGTTGATTTGTAATATAATTTTATTGGGGGTGTTGTGGTTTCTGTTCTAGGTTCTGAATTATACCAACGGTCCAAGTGTCTTCTTATAGCAGCGTTTATTTCCGCGTTGCTATATCCGTTGTTCACCAATACCTGAGTTACTCTTTCAAACTCTCTACTCACGTTGCTCCATTCAGAGCAGTGGGTAAGCGCTCGACGAATATAAGCATTGAGAACACTGGCTTTGTATCTTTGGGGGCACTCACTTCTACCGTTTATATATATATATATATATATATATATATATATATATATATATATATATATATATATATATATATATATATATATATATGCAATTGACGATCACAAAACACTGATCATTTTATGCGGAAAATCCACAGAGAAATATGAAATGAGGTGAACGTTTCGGCTTTGTTAAAGCCTTTGTCAACACCAGACTGACTCAAACAGTCAGTCTGGTGTTGACAAAGGCTTTAACAAAGCCGAAACGTTCACCTCATTTCATATTTCTCTGTGGATTTTCCGCATATATATATATATATACATATATATATGTTGATTGCTGGTGAAAAGATTAATGATTCTAACTCGAATCTTCTCAATATTCCTTACGTTTTTTTTTTCACTATTGGAGGTAATTGAAATCAAAGTTAATTTTCTCATTTTTTATTATGGTCTGATGCCTAAAAGCGTTTCACAAGGGCTTCTTACATTCTCAAAGACAGGTTTACACATCATTTCATGCTTATATTCGTTTTTGGGTGAGGTGATATGACACAAATGTTTTTGGGTGAGGTGACAGAACACGAATCAATGGGTATATGTTGGGTATGAGAACATAAGAATGAAAGTAACTACAGAAGGCCTACAGGCCCATATTTTCTCTTGTTGCTTCTATGTTGGTTCGGGGTCTTGAAGTGGGTAGAATATAGTTATGTGTTAATTGGCTGTTGATTGCTGGTGTTGACTTTTTGATGTGTAGTGCCTCGCTGATGTCGAGTCTCTGCTATAGCTGTATCTATCAATAATTTCTCTGTTGCTTGTTAAGATTTCTCTGGTGATGGTCTGGTTGTGTGAGGAGATTATATGTTCCTTGATGGAGCCCTGTTGTTTGGGCATTGTTAATTGCCTAGAAAGAGACGTTGTAGTCTTGCCTATACTGAGTTCTTTTGGGCTTACAGTTCCCAAGTGGGCATGTGAAGGCATAGACGACATTGGTTTCCTTCAAGGTGTTCTTTTTGGTGTCTGGGGAGTTTTTCATGATTTTTCATAATTTTTTTGTGCAACTATCACATTCAGAGATTGGTAGATACTGACTCCAAGGTTGTATTCTTAATCAACCTGCTGCAAGGTAATGTTGTTGATTGGTAGTAGTGACTTACATTGTTATGCCCCACATGCAGGGTCTTGCATTTTTCGACATTAAAATACATTTTCCAGTCTACTTTGTGTGGAATTTATTTAGATCTCTTTGTATGGTCTCAAGAAAATTACTGCCTTTCCATCTGGAGACCAGTGCCAGGGCTTGCAGACTCTTGAATGTGTGACACAACAACAAATGATGCCTTTCTTTGGTTAATAATTCTGTGGGTATTGCATATACTCTACAACATTTGGTAAAACAACTTTTTTATTCGTACTACAAGACTTTTTTATTTATTTTTTTATTTATTTATATATATATATATATATATATATATATATATATATATATATATATATATATATACAAGAAGGTACATTGGGTTTGTGAGAATACATTGGATAGTACAGTATTTACATTCTTGTAAAGCCACTAGTACGCGCAGCGTTTCGGGCAGGTCCTTAATCTGGCAGATAATTTTAAGTAGGTAATTTCTATCAGAATTGATAAATGATAAAGATACATTGCAAGAGAAAAATGAGATGAGAGAGCTTAGTAAGTGTATTAAAGCACATTGTTAATTTAAAGCTCTGATTGATTACATTGACAGCTTGATTAGTAATATAAACAAGATTAATAGACACCATACAGCAGATTGACAGCACATATAAGACAGCAATGATCACATAACTTAACTTATGTTAAGTTATGATCACTTAATGATCACTTAAACATAATAGAACTCAAAACTCAAAAATCTCAAAATCGAACAATGATCGAACTCGAACTCAAAATCACAATGATCACTTAAACATAATAGAACTTATTTTACACTATTAAAAACATATCTAAATTTGAGTTGTCCATAGACAGGCAACTTTACTTTAGGAGAATAAAAGGGCAGTATAATATGGGTCTCAGTAGTTCAATCGAGTTCGTTCTAGGCTCACAGTTGGGAATTTTGGGTTTAAATCCCGAGTGGGGCAGAAGTGGTTGGGTACATTTCCTGCTCACCTAGCAGTAATACATACCCAAGAGTTAGTCAGCTTGTTGTGGGGTTGCATCCTGGGAAGGGTCAGTAGTTTGACCTAGGAGGAGGGGGGATGGGGAGAACTCGATATGGCCTAACATGTTTATATACACTGTCTGCCTGTCCCTCGACACAATAAATTATTAACCAGACACATGTTAGATGTGTATTTAAAGTTTTTATACAGTAAAGTACTGTATTGACTAATAAAGGTCCTGTAGTACACATGTCAAGATCAATATGCAAGGAGCAATTTATGAATCTATTTATTGCATCAATCAGTTTTTATATGATTCTGTATGCCAAGGCCTATACAAAGCATTCAGGCAGTTTAGTATAGACGGGCACTCGTGTTTATAGTGACTAAATGGCATAAATGCTCCCTTTGGTTTTGTGAAAAATTTCTGTATATGAAAGTTCTTAATTTAAAGCTGTTTCTCTGAGGACTCATGCCCTGTAAATTTACTTTTAAAGCTTTGTGGGCAAGTTTTAATAAGATTCATGTTTGTGTGTACCATACAAGGCAATTTTCTTTTTTTGTCAGGTTCATAAGGGAAACGAGTAAATTTATGAATGAAGAGCTGAGTGTTCCTCATAGTTGTCTGGTCCTAGTCACCAGCTGTGGTTGTGTGGTGGTTGAAGATGGGGGCCAAGAACACCACATCAAGCTCTGCGAAGAGACAAAACAAGACTGGGAGAAATGAACTATCGCCACAGGTGCACAAGTTTGTTGAGAGTCGTGCAACATATGCCAGTAACAGTGCTTCTGTGAATGTCCACGAGGCTGTGGGTTTATGCACGGCACCTGAAATTTTGCTGGTTACTTCGCAACAGAGTATTCCTGAAATTCAGCCGTTGGGCAATAAGGCTATCATTCCGGAACAGACAGTTGCTGGATATATTGAAAAGGATGAGAGAATGAATATTAAACAACAAACCGCTGCTGAATATTTAGGAAAGAATAATGGAAGCACTATTCCACAACAGACTGTTGCTGGATATGTGAATAGTGATAATACAACTAATACTTCACGACAGACCATCTCTTCATACGTGGAAATTGATGACAAAGCCACCACTCCACAACAGACTTCTACTGTATGTGTGGAAAAGGGTGATGCAGCTACTATTCTATTACAGAACATCTCAGAATATGTGGAAGAGGATGTTACATCCACTTTTTCGAGCCAGGGAGGTGCTGGATATATCCCAGGGGATGCTGGAAATGCAATTTCAAGACAAACCAGAACTAAATATGCAGACTGTGATAATACAGTCACCAGTTTGCAACAAAGTGCTACTGAAGCTGAAAGTATTATTTCCAAAACTGCTGTTGTTAAAAAGGAAGTGATTGACAAATCAAAGACTGATCAGGTTAGTTCTGGTCAACAACAAAGAGACGATGTCAGTCTTAAGTTAGATGCAGCTATTCTTCAGAATTTCAATCATCTATTTAAGTCAACAGTTACTGAGAATATGAACTGGGAGACCAAAACTCACATAAGCATTGCTGAAAATGAAGTCCTTGAAACTGAAAGAGGAATAGAAGATAGGGACATTAAAATAAAAAGTAAACCAGAAATTGATGTTTCAAAACCTGAAAATAAAAATAAGAACTGTTACTCTGATCTGCAGCCATTTATACAAGAGACCGAGAACGGTACAGGTTGTGCAGAAGATGAAAGGAGAGCACCAAAAAATGAAAAACCATCAAATCATATTTCAGAAAAGATCCTTCAGAGTACTTTAAAGGAAAGATCCATGCAAAATCTAGGAAAGACCACTCAGTATGTTAAGAAAACCCCAAAAAATGAACTTGTGGATAATAAAAATATAATTCTTGCAAAAGCTGATGCCACAGAAATAATAATAACAGAGGAAGAAGTTGGCATAAATACTGCTGAAGGACCAAAGGATGATGAAAGTGTCAAGATGAATGAAGACAAAGACGTCTTAAAACTTGATCAAGCTACAGGTTAGTGTCTTGAGTTTTCATGTTTTCTGTTTAACATTTATTAAAGCTTGGCTTTTAAAGCCTTCAAGTGAGCCAGAAGCATTCTGCCCAGTTTGAGTGAAAGTGTGTACTGTACCATTTGTCTGTTATGTCCAGTAAAGAGTTTGGCTGAATAGATTAGGACATGATAGACAAAGGGCCATAAAATGTAAAATTATTGTTTATGTAAGAGTGCTAGGCCTACTCCAGTTGAATTGAAATTGAAATAAGTTTAATTCAGTTGATTGCTCACAGTTAAAAGTTCAGATCATCCTCTGTACCTACAGAATTGCTTGATACATAATTCCTTTTGACATGACTTCTAATCCATCTAAATTAGAGGGAACAAACATACAAGATTTGTTATAAATTCGTAAATGCTTTAGAAATCTGGAAATCTGCATTTATTCACTAAATACAAGGTGTCTGCATTGATTAGCTAAATATAAGGCTTCTGCATTTATTAATTAGTAGAGGGGTACCCAGGGTTGCTCTGGTGACAGGTCATATCTTCATTACTGTAACCATCTTTACTACTCAATTACTATAACCATCTTTACTACTCAATTATTACTATAACCATCTTCACAAACAATCATCACTAACAGCTTTATTACCCTCCCATTTCCCCCTATCACATTATATGTATAAATTATTATTATTATTATTATTTGTTTTTGTTTCTTACTGTATTATTATTATTATTTAACAATAAAATCAATTGGAAAAGTGCGGGGGATTCGAACAAGCGATACGGTTACTCTCAGCCGTGCACCTTAACCCACTGGACCATAATACACTTAAGTAATTTAACCTGGGGGTCCTACTGAACCCTTAAGTGGGTGTGTAAGGCACTGAGCTCATGCCAAACCAAGTTGTTACAAATTATCCGCGTGCACTCTTGTGTGGATCTAACATTTTCCACCATACACTCCTCTCAAATACACAAGTAAATCACACTAGTGTGATTTACTTGTGTATTATTGTTGTTATTATTATTATAGAGTATTAATAATATATTTATAATATTTGAGAACATAGTTTTAAAATAATTT